GTGTGTGTGCGCGTGTGTGTGTGTGTGTGTGTGTGTGTGTGTGTGTGTGTGAGAACAGGCTGCAGGCCTCCGTGTTCCTGAACATTGAGTTCAGTAAATGTTCTCTGTGTCCAGTGAAATCCTTCAGTGAGACACCTGCAGCATCGTGTGAGCGGCTCCCGTTTCTTTGAGACGGCCAACTTTTAAACGTTGGGGCGTAAACATTTTTCTTAACTCGATCAAATGCTTGTTTGAGGTTTCACACTTGGCTTTATGATTCAGGTTTAGGTTGGAGTTGTGGGTTAATGTGACTGGAAGGACTTGGAAATGCAGTATTGTCAGTAATGTTTCTCACAAATGTGTGTTTGTGCTGTAACAAACAGTTGTTCCCGAGGGCTTCAGGAAGTGTTGTGTATCTTTACCGCTGATGTAAGTTGTGTGTGTGCTCCTGCTCAGGTCTTGTGTGTATAAGAACGATCAGGCAGTGAAAGAAAACCCAAGCAAGGCTCTGCAGGAGGAGGAGCCATGTCCACGCTTTGCTCACCAGCTGGTCTACGATGAGATGCACAAAGTAATGTACACTGTATTACACAAACACAGCCCAGCTCCCACTGTCCGTTCACACATCTGGCAACACGAAGCGCTTGCGTAGAATTTCAGTGCTTGCAAAGTTGAAATGTTTACAGTAAAAAAACAAAATTCAGTTAATGATGCTTTAAACTGTTTGTAGGCCGTTCCTCTTTTCCTTAATAAAGAAGGAGAATCACTATGAACAAACAACTATGTCACTTGCAGAATTTAGATTTACGCAGCTTGACTGAAGTCCAGCATTTTTCCCTTTGACATTCTGACCGATGTTAACCTAACAACAAGTCTGACCTTTCTTTTTATTTTAAGAGCTTCAAACTGTATTGTAAAAGTGAGACTTCCTGTGTAAACAGACAGCAGGTAAATGTGAAGGAAGTGTGGATTAACAGTGGAGTGGAACGAAGCCTAGTGCAGGCCTGGTTCGTTTGCATCGGGCCTACAGCTCGATCAGATCAACACGTATTTTAGAAGCTAAATTCAGATGAGAGCGGTGTGTTTTATTCATACGGCAGACACCAACAGGCAGATTTATCTTGTGCACATATCTAAAACATACTAAAGAGTGAATGATAAATGTATCTTATCCTTGTTTGTGTGTGTGCAGGTGCATTACTTGTTTGGGGGAAACCCCGGGAAGTCTTGTTCTCCTAAGATGCGCCTGGATGACTTTTGGTCCCTCAAACTGTGTCGGCCCTCCAAGGAATACCTGCTCCGCCACTGCAGATACCTCATCAGAAAATACAGGTCTGTGCCTTTAAAAGCTGCCAGCAGCCAGCAGTGTAGTCTATACCCTGAACCCTTTACCTTGGAGCAGTAATGCTCAGTAAGTATTCCACCTCTAAAGTGAACCGTTTATCAAGTTTAACGTGGAATCTTCTGGATTTCTCTCACGATCTAAATGATTTTATTATTGAGATTCTTCTTCTACTTTCATATTATTTCTTACTTCACATATAAGCTGTTTCTCACTCCCAGCCGGCTGCAGCAGAGAGCTGCCTCTTCATGAGCCCAGCACTCCTGGGGGCTTCTTCTTGTTAAAGAGGTTTTTTTCTTCTTGCTGTGACCAACGGGATAAACTAACAATAAATAAGATTTTTTTAATTGCTTCATTTATAGTTATAAAGTTATAAATTGGGGCAGCTTTTGTAACTGTGGTGACATGATTTGCATACGTAAAGTTAAAAAGAGTAAGTGTAACTATTTTTAGTAGCAGGAGCGATGCAGAGGTGCAGATCTGTGTGAGAAGGGATGAGTACTTCCTGTCTAGCACCTTTGACTTGACTCATCTTTGGGAATCTAGCATGCACTTAGTTGCTTTGCTTCTGTTGCCATCAAGTTGCCAGTAGCTGTAACTGCAGCCTCCTCTGTTGGTATTCATGCCATCACTGTGTGTTGGTTTCACAGGTTTGAAGAAAAGGCCCAGTCAGAGCCACTGAGTGCACTGAAGTATCTCCAGAACGACCTGTCTCTCACTGTAGACCACACAGACCCGGATGAGACCAAAGAGGTACAGGATTTCCCTTAAACGTCTACGTTTGTATACAATCCAGTCTTTTAATGCATTCATATATGTGCATATAATAAAACTGAGAATATTAAGTAGTGCTGTCAAAATTAACGTGTTAAAATTAATCCGCCATCACGGGCAACGGGATTACAATTTTTAACACCTGGAGTGCAGAGCGACTCAGAATCCCTGCAATGTTTCTATAAACGCATTTCGGGCAGTTTGTCCAAGTAGAGTCAGCTTCGCACATGCGCACGGGGCAGCTGGTGTGTAGTGACGGCCAGCTGCACCAATCAACTCGATGTGGAAGATGATAAACGCGCTTCGGCCCTCTCCGTGGGAAATTTGAGCATTAAGAAAATAAGAGGGAACAGTCGACCCTCATAAGGTATTTTGCACGTTGTGCAAGAAGGAATTCTGTTTTCACCGAAGCGCTTCCAGCTTAAAATATCACATTGACTCGAAGCACACGTTAGCCAGGATGCTGCTAGCACTTTGGCTAACGCCTCACCCAGCTTGGACACTCGCGGAGCATCGGGGCCTCAGGAAGTCGACCTCGGACACATCGACTGACGCCACGCGGAACAAACTGCAGACCTGTTAACATCACTGAGAACCTTTACCAGCTTTGGTTCCTCGTTCAAGCACGTGAAGCCTCCCCAAGAGAGACAGAGAGAGGATACATGTTTACAGAGTTTTTACATGAATGTTCAACATGTTAGTGCGATGTTTGCCCTTTTTTCTCGAGTCTGTTTGCTCATGCAAAATGAAACGTGATTAATATAGAATAAAATAAATGATGTTTAATCATTAATCCAAATTAATCCACAGTTCCCCTGTGATCAGTCTGCATAAACATTTTAATAGTTTGACAGCACTAATATATATATTAGTGTATACTTCCCTATTAGTATAACTGCATAAATGTCAGTTACAAGCTTAAATATAAAGTTGAAAAAATGTAATTTCAAACAGGCTATTGATCAAGTAATTGCGATTAATCACGATCTATTGACATCACTACTTTAAACACTTGCTGGTTTGTGAGTAATGCAGGCGTTAAGCCTCTGCTGCAGTTGGTAGGTTGAGTCTGTGTAGACAGACGTGAGCTCAGGTGTATTCAGCCCGGCGCAGCACCTGCTGCAGCAGGACTCTGATGCGTTTGTTTGTTCGTTGCTGTTGAACGTTAAAGTGACTCAGACGTTTGTTCTGTGTGCTTCAGTTCCAGCTGCTGCCCTCGGCGCTCTTCAAGTCCAGCTCTGACTTCATCCCTCTTGGTAAGAACCTGTTCAGAGTTCATAAAAGCTCACGCTCTGCACACATGGCAAACATCAGGTTTATAGTCTTTATAAAAGTGTGACAGTAACTGCAAGTGGAGAGGTTTTCAGAGTAAAAGTTGCACTTAATGAAACAAGTTGGTTGCAACGCTGAGGCACAACTTTTACTTTGAAGGCAAGTGGTCTTCGTTTCACAGTTCCACTCCTGTGCCAGTGTTTGTAGAAAAGACTCTGCCAACCAGTAGGGCTTAGGCATTTTTCCCTAGAGACGGGTGGTTACCATGGGATGGGACCATGGGTCACTGACTGGTTTACAGTGAGACTGCAGCTTTACCAGCGACTGCCATCCACCTCCAGCAGCCACTCAGTCTGTTGGATAATAATCTTTCTTTTCCCCTCGTTATTCCCGTGTCTCTGGAGAATGATTCATTGATTGTCACATGTCCCAAATGCTGGACAAGTTAATGTCACATGGTCACCAGTCATGTGTCTGCAAAACCTCAGTATTTCACTTCAGGCAGCACTTTTGTTCAGGTTGATGAAGGTGCAGGATTACCAGATATCTGTACAGCTGTCTTCACTGCACACTGACTAAAACCAGCTTGTGACAAACGTCATCAAGAAGGTGCTGAAATGATATTTTATTGCTTCCTGTCTGTGTTTCACAAACTACATCACATAAACAAAAGAGGGCTGATGTAAAGCCATATATGTGTCTACATGATCACTTTGAGAGGTTGTGTGCTGAGGCCTGATTCTGTGCATTGAGTCTACACAGATGGTTTCCAGACCCGGCCTGAGGAGCAGAAAGCATGGCGCTCTGCTCTGCACATGCGTCTCTGCTCACCTGCGTTTTCTTTCTCCCCCTCAGGTTTCTCAGACATAGACCAGACGTACGCTCAGCGGACACAGCTCTTCGATACGCTCGTCAACTTCTTCCCAGACAGCATGACTCCACCTAAGGGCAACTTGGTAGACCTTATCACGCTCTAGCCCCTCCCAGCCTGCCGCTCGCCACACTGCTCTGACTGAACGCCCAGCCGCACACACCGTGTGGAGACAGAGACCAGTTATTTTTCTATTCTGGAACGCCCCCTGCTGGTGGGATCACACTTCACCCACCTCCACCCCACTGATCTGCTGCTATCACGGGCTGCATTACCATGACGATGAGGGCAGCAAACACACACACACTGCTGTCCTTGTTGAATACGTGAAATTTCTACAACAGCCTGAGGGTGTGTGTGTGCGTGTGTGTGTACACCTGTGCTTTTTTCCTTTTGTCTTGCTGATGGAGACTGCAGGAGCCAAGCCCAGCGCATCACTTTTGTTTTTGTTTGTTTTTTGTTGTTGAAGCTAAACAAAAATAATTTGCACATTTGTTTGCTGACTCTTCTTCGATCTGTGCTTTCAGAATCAACCACACATGTCCATTCACATGTTTACATCTGAGGCCAGTTGTTAAAAAATTAAGATTGTGTTGTTTTTTGTTGTTTCTCCTATAAAACCACATGTCAGCGTCATTTTAATGAGTTGGTAAGCTGGCTTTCCTGCAGCACCTGCCCCTATTTATGAGTGTGACGGCTGCACAGGCTGGAAAAAGTCAGCAGTTTTAAGCATCGTAGGAACAATAGAGGAATGATTCTATGAGATAAAGTTTAATATATATATTAAATATATAGGTATATAGGTTTTGGTTGCTATCCCTGTAAAACTGGCTGATAACAGTGAAATTATTGGCCTGTCGTTGAATTCTGAGTGGATGTACAGAATATGTAAATATACATATAGGAATTTGCTCCACGTGTCCTGGGCTTGTGTCAGGTCATGCTCTTTCTCCCCATCCTTATCAACAAATGTCAAAAACAAAAAAACATCAGGGTCCAGTCACTCTGTGGCTCCACATTTAGCAGTTACTTACTGAGGAGAGTTTAAACGAGACGTGAGTGAGGTGCTGGTGCAGGTATCCACCGTGATCTTTGCAGAGCAGCTAAAGGTGTTTTCAGTTTGGCAGCATGTTCCTTCAATGGGAGGATGAAGTGCATGAAGCTCTGGTCTGATTATCAGTCAGTCACATATACAATCATGGAACTTCCAGCTTATGATCTGCGTTGAATATTAAAGGCTGGGTTATCAACTTTTCTGTACTGATAATAATTAGTGCTGTGAGCGTTAATCTCATTAAAATGACGTTAACGTCATACCTGAATTAACGCGGAAAATCTCCGAGTTAGCGTGGCTCGCCCGTGCGTGGGGCTGGACAGCACTAACCCGTTGGTGGCGTGCAGCCCAACGAGCGAGCCGCGTTAACTCGCTAACGGAGATTTGCCGCTTCAAAGCGGTTCTGGCGTTAACGTGATTTCAACTGGATCAACGCTCGCAGCACTAACAATAACTCAACTGGGCTACAGTTATGACCTTCATGACTAATCTCATCGTGTAACCAACGAGCTGCTGGCTCGGCCCAAGAAAATGGAGAGCAACTTAAAAAAAGAAGCACAACTTCTGTTGACTGAGTTCCTGTGGTTGACCTGGATGTGCTGCAGTTACAGCTAGAAACGATCCCACCCTGTTCTTTAGGTTCAGCACAGTCTGTGACATAAAAGCATGCTGATTGGTCAGGTGGCAAAATAATGTGCTGGGGTCACCTTTCCCACCTTTGTTGTCGTGAACACGCACAACCTTCCTTCATCGGCTGCTGTACCTCCTGATCACACAAACACAGAAGGAGATCCTGAAGCTTCTCATTGTGCAATTAGCCTCGCTGAGGACTCCTTGGTCCACGAACAGGCGCATCTTCAGATCATGGAGACATTTGCAGTTTGTAAAATTTGATCCTCAGCTGCTTCGGCTTATTTTTATTATACGCCTGAGACTTTCTTACCAACCATGTGTAACACACAGACCTGATTGTAGCCTCACATACGGAAGGAAAACATTGAGCTGGGAAGTTTGGATAAAATGCTTTTGGAGGATGTCGAAGGTCCGAGTAGCTGGATATGTGTAGCAGTGTTGAAATGGACTGAAGCTGTGGTAGCTGCAGTTTCTGTCACCTCTGAGGGATCCGTGTTTCATGCAGGTGCTTACTCCCCATTGGCTTTCCTGTTTGCCGTCTTCCCTGACTGAGTCAGACTCTCACTAATTGCATTTCACAGGAAATGTTTTCGCTTATATTTCTTCCAGTGCTTTGTTTCTGATAACTGTGATGCAGTAGAACACTACAGACGCAGTCACACAGCTGCTGGGACTCTTGAGCACCGTCCGTCGAGCGTATGCTGTACTTGAACAGACTTCTTCCTGGGAGATTCAAAGAACGTTCGGCACAGTTTAATGAAAGAGTGGATTCTTTTACAGTCGCGTAACGCAGGCCAAATTTACGTTTCACACTCTTTCCCTCATAGTTTGAATCAGTTGGCATCTTTGATTCAATCTCATTCATTGGACACATGAATTATAGATAATGCTCTTATTTTGAAATTAAAGAACCTTAAGAACGTTTCTGTTTGTTTTTATTTTTTTAATAAACTTCCATAATTGAATTTCCTGAGCTGTGGGGCTTAGTGTTGGAGAGCTGTTAGTCCGCTGATGCATCAGAAGTCCACGGCAGTGTTCTCGCTTCCTTTGTGCTTCAAGCGTACAAAGACCTGGATTTGTCATCGCTTGCTCGATTCTTTTGTAGCTCCAAAATGTGTTTTAAAATATGAACAAATCAAACTCATTCCTAAAGTGAGAGCAGTGAGTGAAATTCTAGCACAGTCCACCTCCAAACAGCGTGATGGTAACGTGAGCTGCATGTAACTGCTACCATTGACTTCCTGCTGCCATGACGACGTTACTGTCATTGCAGTGTATCTTTGCCTCAGAGGACACCACACTATATCTGTGCACTACATTTGACATGTGTTGATAGAGTGATACACTCTAACAGGAAGCTTCACTTGCAACACTGTTACCAGCTTTGTAACTGTTAACATAGTCAGCATCGTTTTCTGGTTGCCTGGCAACTATAATGGTAGGACACTTCAACAAGGCGCAGTAAATGAATAATCTTAATCTGAGCACATAGCAAGTGTTTGTCCATAGGAGGGTAGCCACTGCGCCACCACACAGAGATGAGTTTGGAAATGTTTGGGTGGTGTCAGGACAGCTAAGCCCCTAACTCACCAGTCTACACCTGGGACGAGCTATGCTGTCATGGAGGAGGAAGTGTCCATAAAGGCCAGAGGTTTTCAATGCTGTAGAGACGAACGATGGCGAGTGTGTGGAGACGGCCTCCAAACGACTACATTTTATTGGCAGTTCTTCATTGACTTGGTGCTTCAGGCTGAAAGTTGATGTTTGGTTTTACAGATTAAACAAAAGAGACAAAGATTTCGTCTTTGAGCGTTTGGACAGACCAGCCGAGCTGCTTCCCTCCACACTTTGTGTCAGCTGTTCTTTCACCATGTGTGGTTTGTAACAAATGGCCTACTGTGTGTGTGGTCACGTTAATGACCTCACAGAGGTGATCCTTTCAGTTTCTGACATCAACACACCACCTACAGGTCTCAATGTGGAATTTGTATCCAGTTATTTCAGCCAAGACTCCTCACTGTTCACCCTTTATTCCTTCTATGGAACCTTCCCAGGATGGAGATGCTCTGTTCTATGTTCATGTGTGACTAATCTCAGACAGGTAGCAGGGATCAGCAGAAGTGGCCTAAATTTACATACTGAGGAAGTGTAACGGTTTACACTAATAAATGTTCTTTTTGTCTGCTAATCTGTTTCGGACGAGGAGAAATGTGAAGAAGTAAGAAAATGATGACATTTTGATAACATGCAGGGCTCACCACACTGGCTGTAGCGTTAGTTTTGTGTTCAAGACTAATTCAAAGCACCTTTGTAAGAACACACAATGCCAAATACGACTTTTCTTTGTCTTTCTTTGGGTGGGACTCAGGAGTTTTAAAGCTGGTACTCTCTGATCAGTGAGCACTACTCTGGATTACAGTGAATGTGTAGAAAGCCTTGCAGTATTGCATTGTATGTACTGTATATAATGAATAAAGATTGTATTTTGTTCAAGTTTTCCTAACTGCCATCTTTGTGTGGTTCATTCTAAAGGAAAGTCTCCAAAGTGGGGAAAAAACGATTTATTTTCAAACCTGAACAGGTACAACAGAATAACAGTCGAGACCATCCGTGCTTTACAGCTTCCAGTGTGTCAGACCCCTGCTGTTTGCCTTCTGCAGCAAACAAACCATAAATACATAAAATCCTGGTACAGTAACGTACGTGAGAAACTATACACAACTATGATAACAGTGGCAGACGCAAACACTCACAGCAGTCAAGCAAACATACTGGCTGGACTGGAGAGCCCAGTGTGATTGAGTCACTTGCACATAATATAGGTTGAAGTGAAAGTAAATATATATTAATTGAAATTATTGGACTGATGAGAATTTCAAAATAAAAGTGTTAAGCTGGGGTTCTGCTGTGAGGGTTTAGCCCGACTCTGTCCAGCCTCACCAACAAAGAGCGTGCAGCTATTTACAGCGTGGCTCAGCTGACTGAGAATGGGCGCACGTCTGCTTACTAATAATGCAACTAACAGCGTGTAAAAGGTTCTTTACGTGTAGTTAAAAAGTAGTTTGGCATGATTATAGCTTGTGTTTATTGTACAACAGCCACCATTGACATGGTAGAGTCCAACATGAGCAGGTCACCATGAAATTAGATTTCAGGGTAACAACTTAAAACACACTAACATAAAAAGATGCCTTGCTGGCCCTAGAAACAACTTCATGGCTCTCCTATGCAAACCCGAATACAGGATTTCAGATGAACAGAAATGACGCCTGTTTGCATCAGAATGACTTTAAAGGACAAGAATTTGTCGTCTCTGGCTTTCCATACACAACAGAGTCAATATGAGGCACTTTGGATTCAAACCGGTCCTTTGTCCGCCCAGTGTAAGCAGCATCTCTGTGGCCGTGTCCTTCCTTCTGTAGGGTTAGTGCACAGCCTCTATCTTTAAATCACTGGGGGCTTTAAAGTGCCCCCTGATCACATTTCTATGTTAGTAACTCTAGAGTGGTCAACGCAGATGACCTCTGTTCCTCAAGAGCGAATGCAAAGTGATTGGTTTGTAACATTGCCGCTCCTTCGTCAGATGCAAGAAAACACTCAAAAACAGGTCACAGTGTGCAACCTCTTTGTTAGTACAATAACGAACAGGCACAGAAATATGTGTAAAAACCAATATGAAAAGGTTGTGCTCCACAGGAAGTCACACGTATGGAAAAGTGCAGCATAAACACAACAGTGATTGATTTGGTGCATTTTTCAAACATGTTTCATGAAGTTTGCTACATCGAACCGAGCAGCCTCTACACGCCACGCCGTCACCTGCTCTGGAGGAAGTGTTGCCTGGCTACAAGGGCATGAGAGACAAGAGTTTAAGATGCGTGGGTATAGCTCGATTTGTTGTGGCGTTGCGCGCCCTGTGACCCGCCCCTCTCCCACCCGTCCTTACAGGTGGGTGTCCTCCTCTTCGGGGTGGTCCTCTTTCGACAGGTGGTCCAAAGGTACCATCCAGCTGTCGTTGAACTCTCCGTTCAGCACCATCTTCTTCTCCAGCATCTCGGGCTGCACTTCCATCACTTCCAGCGTGGGGTTGTCATGGTAACCGTTTTCCACAGTGTGCAGCTCTTCTGTTAGGTGTTGCTGTGGAGATTGAGAGGGCAAAGTAAAAACATGCCCACTGTTACTTCCTGTTACACAGACCCAGTCTTAAAATTCATAAATCTGAGTGGAATCTAACTGCTCTCACACGTCTGTTGTTTAACTTCTAAACATACTCCAAAGTCCACAAATCCAACAACTATCCGTGGATGAATCAGGGATTCAGGCTACCACAGCTTTAAATGAAAGCACTGCACGATACGACACTTTCCTTTTGGAAAAGTATTTCGGCACAGAAGGAATTTTGGCTAGAAGAAGAGGCCAGAATCAAAACAGATAAAAAGGAGGCCTTTGTTCCTGCCCAGTCATCGTCCCCACACGGTCATATGTCCTAGAACGTTTGCTAAAAGTTTTCTCCACAGAATATTCAGAAAACCAATTAAACACCGAGTTTTGATCCTGACACAGTTCTGAAAGTGTCAGGCACCCCCGTAGGTCACCGCTGCTGGAGCTCCTGTCAGGTATTTGGTGGTTCAGTGGCTAAAAGTAAAATTGGTTTCTGCTGCAACGATAGTCCCACCACATCGATGCAAAATTTTAAAAAAGGAAAAGAAAAAAAGTTTTGAGGGGGTGAAAAATCAGGGGAAACAAAAAGCCCAGAATTCTAACCTCTCTGCTCTTTAGCTCCAACATGTGTTAAAAAGTACTAAATAAGCTGAAAAGGATGGGAATCAAATCCCAATTAGTGGCATTAAAGCATGAACCAAACCTGCAGGGACACAGAATAAAAAGTTAAACATGAATCGATGTATCATCGTTTTTCTATCACCGGTTAGCTTAGAAGATATAAGGAATAATACCATGTCTGGAACAACCCAGGCCAGCACTCATCAAAGATTTTATAAGCACCTAATAAGCACATATGATTGGCTGATGTAGCCTTGAAATGTGAAGCATCTGGAACATCTCTTTTCCTGTTTCATCATCTCTAGGAGGAGGGGGGGTTGCTGTCTTATTTAATGAATCATTTCAATGTAAGCAGCTATCTCCTGGAAGTTTTCAGTCTTTTGAATATGTGGCTTTACAGCTGAAGGCCCCATCCAAAGTTGTGTTTCTTAATGTTTACAGGCCTCCCAAATACTGCACAGACTTTTTTAATGACCTCAGTGAA